ACTGGACCAATAAGCAACATCATGATAAACAGAGAAAAGACTGAAGTTGTCAAGGATTTCATTTTACTTGGATCCACAATCAATGCCCACGGAAGCAGCAGTCAGGAAATCAAATGTCGTATTGCATTAGGCAAGTCTGCTGCAAAAGACTTCTTTAAAGTGTTCAAAAGCAAAGATGTCACTTTAAGGACTAAGGTTTGCCTTACCCAAACCATGGTGTTTTCAATCACTTCATATGCGTGCAAAAGCTAGACAATGAATAAGGAAGACTGAAGATGAATTAATGCCTTTGAATTATGATGCTGGCAAAGAATACTGAATACACCATAGACTGCCAGAAGAACGAACAAATCTGTCTTGGAAGAAGTACAGCCAGAATGCTGATTAGAAGCAAGGATGGCAAGACTTCATCTCACATACTTTGGATATGTTATCAGGAGCGATCAGTCCCTGGAGAAGCACACCATGCTTGGTAAAGTAGAGGGTCAGCAGAAAACAGGAAGATGCTTGATGAGATGGATTGACACAGTGGCTGCAACAATGGGCTGAAACATAATAACAATTGTGAGGACGGCACAGGACCAGGCAGTATTTTGTTCTGTTGTATGTAGGGTCACTATGAGTTGGAACTGACTTGATGGCACCTAACAACAACAATAGTTCTTAAAGACAATGCTTTACATCCTACTTTGGGTGAGTAGCGTCTGGGGTCTTAAAAGCTTGTAAGCGGCCATCTAAGATACAACTATCAGTCTCTTCTAGCAAAGGAGCAAAGGAGATGGAAAAAAACTAAAGACTTAAGGGAGCAATTAGTCCAAAGGACTAATGGACCACATGAACCACAGCCTACACAATCCTAAGACCAGAAGAACTAGAAGGTGCCCAGCTACCACTACTGACCACTCTTGAGATTACAACAGAGGATCCAGGACAGAGTGGAAGAGAAATGTCGAACAAATGATAAAATGTGCAAAACAAACCAGACTCATTGGTCTGACAGAGACTGGAAGAACCCCCGAGACTATGGCCCTCAGAAGCCCTTCTAACTCAGAATTGAAGCCACTCCTGAAGTCCACCGTTCAGCCAAAGATTAGGCAGGCTTATAAAACAAACAATACCACGTGAGGAATGTGCTTCTTAGCTCAATCAAGTACACGAGATCAGATGGGCAACACCCGCCCAAAAACAAAGATGACAAGGTGGGAAGGGATAGGAAAACTGGATCAATGGAACCAGGGAACCTGGGGTGGGAAAGGAAAGGGAGAGAGCACTGACACAATGCAAGACTGCAGCCAATACCATGAAACAATTTGTATATAAATTTTTGAATGAGAAACTAATTTGCTCTGTAAACTTTCACTGAAATCACAACTAAAAAAAAAAACAAAACACAATGAGATACCACTTCACACCCACTAGGATGGCTATATCAAGAAGATGACTTTCAAGAGGATGTGGAGAAACTGAAACCCTCATACATTGTTAGTGGGACTGTAAAATGGTGCAGCCACTTTGGAAAACAGGCATTTCCTTAAAATGTTAATCATGGAGTTACCATATGACCCAGCAATTCCACACCTACGTATATACTCAAGAAAAATGAAAGTAGATGTACAAATAAAAACTTGTACATGAATGTTCATTGCAGCATTATTTACAATAGCCAAAAAGTAGAAACAACTCAAATGTCCATCAACTGATGAATGGATAAACCAAATATGGTATATTCATATAATGTACTATTATTTGGCCATAAAAATGAGTGAATTACTGATACATGCTACAACATAGATGAATCTTGAGAACATTATGTTCAAAGTGAAAAAAGCCAGTCATAAAAGATCACATTTGTACAAAATATCTAGAATAGGCAAATAAATAGAGACAATGCAGATTCCTGGTTGCCAGGGGCAGGGAAAGGAGGGTATGGGGAGTGACTGCTGATGGGTATAGATTTCTTTTTGGGGTGATAACAATATTCAACAATTAGGTAAGTGGTGATGGCTGCACAACCGTGAATATACTAAAAATGGCTGAACTGTATACTTTAAAAGGTAAATTTTATAGTATGTGAATTGTATCTCAATAAAGCTGTTATTATTAATAATAATAATAATAAAGGGGAATTTTAGGGATTAATCAGATGAGAAAGGGAATTCCAGGAAATACGATGTTTTATTTCTTCAAGTGCTCAGTGTGCCTGGAGCTAGTGTAAGAAGAGGGTAAGGAGACAGCAGGAGAGGAGACTTGGTGGGGTCAGTGAAGACCCAAACAAGCCTCTCCCAAACAGGGGTAGGAGTGGGATCTGACCTAACCTCACCGCAGAGGGTTTGGATTTCAGGAAGGGTCCCCATCTCCCACTCTCCTGCTCCAACCTCTGTGTCCAACTCAAACTGGATATTGTCTTCTCCATCACCCAGAGGGCTGCTAAACCAAAGCCGTGATTTTCTTACCTCCTGAGATTTGATAACCTCCTTATCTACAGGGCAGATAGGCACTGCATTTAATTCTCTGGAGAGAAAAATAAAAATGAAGCCAACATTAGGCATCTACTCAACCACTCTTCCAAGTGCTGGCCCCGCACTCCAGCCACATTCTAACCCCTGCAGCCTCCTCTCAACAAGCCGGTCCCTTTCCTTCCTCATCTTTGCATATGCTGTCCCCTCTACTCAGAAGGCCCTCCACCCCCTACCAGGTCCCAGTCTCTCTGAAGAACTTCTACCCATCCTCCAGGACCCAAGTCAAATACTGAGCTCCCACAGTTAAGTGGCCCCCTGCCTGGGCTCCCATGGTTCTTTGCACAGCTTTTTACTTATCACAGTGGATCATAATCTGTCTCCTTCACTAGACTGGGAAGTACTAGAGGGCAGAGACTGGGTCCTGTTCCACACTGTAGCTCTAGTGCTTCACTCTGTACACCAGAGCTTGTCAAAGTGCCTGGAATGCACAGGTGTGGAATGAACAAACACATCAATGAATGAAAATGTGCTGTAAATAACAAGACCCGAATTACCCCCTTTCAAAGCTTGGTTGAGCGCAGCAGTGCGCTTACTGCCACACCCAACAAAGTCCAAAAGTTTGTTTCCATTTCTCTCCTGGTGTCTTCTCTCAAAAGGTATGTCCCAGGTTTACAGATGCCCAGAAGGGACAGCATCCATGCAGGCAAGGTTCCTTCTGGATGCTACACCTCTGCCTTAATGCAAGGAAATAAAGGCCATGTGACTACAACAAAGACACCAGGAGATACAGATCCTCTCCAGCTGCTAACTCCTCACCACATACTGTGCACCCAGGTTTGCTCTCACAAGCACTATAGGTGGGGACTGATTTTAGGAAAAGGTGAATATCAATAAATGACTGGCAAAAAATGAAGACGATTCTCAGGCCCTCAAAGAGGACTGAATCCTAGGAGAGCCTCTCCTCATATTCAGGATTCTTGGCTGACCATAGCAATTCCAAAAATCCTGATTACAGTTGAATGGCCACGGCTGACACTTAGATTCCAAGCACCCCCCACCCCATCCCTATATCCCAGACACCACCACCCTCTACACACACGTAGATCCATGACATCCTCACCCCCTACACACACTTAGATCTCTGACACCCCCAATCCTACACTTAGATCTTGACAACCCCACACCCTATACACACTTAGATACCTGACACCTCCACCCCAATACACACATTTAGAAACCTGACACCCTCACTCCCTTACACACACTTAGATCCCTGACACCCCGACCCCCTACACACACTTAGATCCCTGACACCCACACCCCGTACACACACTTAGATCCCTGACACCCACACCCCGTACACACACTTAGATCCCTGACACCCCCACACACACACTTAGATCCCTGACACCCACACTTTACACACACTTAGATCCCTGACACCCCCACCCCCTACACACACTTAGATCCCTGACACCCCCACACACACACTTAGATCCCTGACACCCACACTTTACACACACTTAGATCCCTGACACCCCCACCCCCTACACACACTTAGCTCCCTGACATCACCCAGCCCCCGTCTGGCTCTGGCCTGGTGTGGCCAGAGTTGCAGGCCCTGCCCGCTCACCTGAGGGACAGGATGCAGTGCTGGCAGAAGCGGTGCCCACAGCCCGTCTGGTGGGGGTTGTGAAGCACCGAGTGGCAGAAGGCACATTTGTAGCGCTCTTCTAATTGCTCCACAAACTGGTATTCAGTGTTGGGCTCAAAGTCCAAGGAAATGGAGTTGCTAGAATTCTGACGGATGAAACCACAGGGGACACCTCCTTGTTCTTCAGAATAAGCCATGCTGGGCGTTCCAGGGAAGAGAAGGAAAATTAAGTGTACAAAACACCAAAACAACTATAGCTATCAGGGGTTTTAATCATTCGTTTCATAATCACCCCCAGGGTCATTCTGTTATGACTTTATAACAGCAGTAGCAACCTCCTGCCACTGGAGGGCCCCGCAGAGGCGCCATGGCGTGCACAGGCAGCAGGCGGCACCAGATGCCGTCAGCAAGGGTCCATGCTCCTTCAGCTCCTTGCCAGTCAGCTTTTCACAGGACGCTCAATTACCCTCAGGTTGGCCACGTCCTTGGACAGTATAACCAAGTGTTAACTACATTCTACGCAAACTTTTTTCCTAACTCAACTGAGAGAACTTGAGCAAATATTTCAGCATCAAGTTAAAATGTTTCAGAAGCAAGAAACTTGCACTCAAATCTATTTATTTCACCACCATCAAGCTAGATCATTTTTTACCAGAACTAAGTAAGAGCCCATTAACTGCTTTTCCCTCCAATCTACTCTCCATACACAGCCAGGGTGGTATTTTGAAAATGTAAGAATGATTCAAGTTTACCTCCCCTGCTTAAACATCTTTCAATGGTTTCCAGGGCTCTTTGGGCAAAGTCTAGAATCCTAAACAAGCTACAGGACATAGGTTGCTTGCCCTGCTCCCCAACAGCATCCTGGACCACTCCTGACCTTGCTTTCTGTACTTCAGCCACATGGGCTTTCTCTCAGTCCTTCTAATACACGTCTCTCTCCTGCCACAGGACCTTTGCACAAGCTCTTCCCTCTGTCTAGAATCCTTCCTCTATCCCCTTCCAGTCAGTTAACACACATTAACGCTTCAAATTTCATTTCAAGCATCATATCCTCAGCAAGCTTTCTCTACACACTCCCTCCCCCCGCCCAGGTCTAACAGCAGAAGGTCCACTCAACAGTTTATAAAACATGTATGGTCTACAGAGAGTGGCTGGGAGACAAAGGTGGGAGACTTTCTGAACCATGTGAATGTGTTACCTATCAAACATAAACAAACACATTATATACAAAAAAAAAAATTAAACATCAACATCGTATCCCTCATAGAATGAGGCTCTTTTCCTTCAGAGCAATACTTAGTTTGTATGATGGTCTGATTTATATCTGTGTCCCTTAATGGCACATGGATCACAGATATGTGGTCTTGCTCATCATTGTATCCCCAGCCCCCAGCACTGAGCCTGGCTTGGAGAACTTGGCTATAGGTTGAATTAATGTTAATGAATGGAATTTTTTAAAAACCCTCACTAGAGCAGCTATAACTAGTGGCTTCTAAGACGGCGATTCTTAAACTTTTTGAGCAAGGCCTTCCTCCCTCCACCATTGAAAATCTGATGAAAACTAGACCTTTTTTCCAGAAATGGCACACCCACCCAATGTCTGGACAGGTAAGGACCTTCTGAGCTCACCCATGGTCCCCAGTAAGAACAGCCCTGCCTCCCCAGCAGGAATGCTGTTCCTTTGGGGCACAGTGTGGGAGTGGTGCTTTCAGGGTGTCTGGCAAATGGTCAAACGATGGGAGGCCACCTAGGGTGGTCCCTGGGGATGTCTTCCTTCCACATGGCTGGGCACGGGAAGGCTTGACCCTCAGGCTCACTTGTGATCTCTTGAAAGTCTCCTGCAGCTGATGAGCTCAACTGAACCTGGAACAGCTGTCCAGCCTGACCAGGTGAGAGACGAGTGGCTCTGCCTAGGTCAGCTGCTGACCCTTCTCTCCTGCATGCTCTGGCTGGCCTCTCTCAATACTGGGGTGGTCGGAGCTTGGGTATGGCCTGGGTGAATGGAGCGAAGTGAGCAACTGACCTCTTTCAGTAAATAAAGTCTTATCCCTGGAGGAGCCCAGCTGACCAGGGGATTTAGTATTATTATTATTAACCTGAGATCTAAGACCAAAGCCTGTCTTTTCCTCTCTCCATGTGTTTCTTGCAAAACTTCAAGGGTGGTAGGTGAGCAATGCAAGGTGCAACTGTTCCTCTTTTAACATTGTTTACCCTTGGGATTTAACAAAGGTTTTAATTATGAAATGAAGAGGCATGGCAGTTGATTTAGACACACACACACACACACCCCCAATAACCAAGGCCCTCCTTTCTCCTAGAGAAGTGGAAAAACCTATTTCAAACTGCCCTAACCTGCCCTGTGTTCTCCAGTCCTAGAGGAGGTAAACACTTCATGCCCTGTGCCTTCATATCATGTTCTGCGCCCCTCTGGGATTCTCTCCTGAGACCAGGCTCATGTCTGTCACATTGCATCTAACTTTGAATTTGCAGAGATGTCATTAAAGCAACAGGCTTATCCAGCCCCCAGAATAAGGCAGTAGGGTGTACAAAACTCAGTGCAGCTTCCCCCACTATACTCTATCCTCTTTCCTAGCACAAGAGTCTACTGTACTCATTTGTATGTCCATCTTTCTCTACAACAGTGGTTCTCAAACTTTTTGGTCTCAGCACCCCTTTGCATTCTTATATACTGAGGACCTCAATGAGTTTTATGTGATTTGTACCTATTGATATTTACTGTGTTAAAAATTAAAACTGAAGAATTTAAAAATATATCTTTATTAACTGACTTTAGAGTAATAACAGCTCGATTATGTGTTAACTAACATATTTTTATGAAAAGTAACTATTTTCCAAAACAAAAAAATTATTGAGAACAGTGTCACTGTTTTACATTTTGCATATCTCTTTAACATTTGGCTTAATAGAAGACAGCTGGACCCTTATATCTATTTCTGAATTCAGTCTGTTGTAGTGTCACACGTCATGTAGCTTCTGGAAAACTCCACTGTACACTCATGAGAGAATCAGAATGAAATCCGGCAAATGACATCTTAGTATTATGTCAATTTTTTTTTAATTAATTTTTATTGTGGTAAAATATATATATAACAAAACATTTGCCATTTTAACCATTTTTAAGTGTATAATTCAGTGACATTAATTCCACTCACCATATTGTGCAACCATCACCACTCTCCACGAAAACAGTTTGACCATGCAGACCCCTAGAAGGATCTCAGGGAGCTTCCGGCAGTGGTGTCCTGGTAAATGTTGAACTGCCTACTCTACTAGGAGAAAAGCCTTGGTTTTGTAGGATTTGTTAATTTCTGCGGTTAAAAACTCCCACCACGGCTGAGTTTCAAGCTACCAAAAGGAAAAGTCATTAAACTCAGAGTTGGAAAGAGATGTGCAAAACTGGTTCTCATGAGCTTGTTAGAGCTGGCTCCAAGCACCGCAAGGGTCCCTAACACACACTTTGAGAACCACTGCTCTACTAGCCTGCCGGGTGGGCCTGTGGCTTGTCAGTCTTTGTCCTGGCAGGGTCAAGTACATTGTGACTCTCATAGACAGTCTCTTTGCTTCTGCAAAGAGGCCTGAGGACTGAATGCTCCGTCCCTCCTCTCCCTCACCAATGTGTGTCTTCAGCAGCCCTACTCAGCACTCCGCTCTGCCTATGCCATCTGCTGACCAATTCACTCTCTAATCTGTTGCCACCTTGTCCAAGATTTGTTTTTTATAAATGTGTTTATCTAATTACACATTTTAGAAAATAAGCACTTATGTTCTGCTATAAGATGATGGACTTCAGATGTTTCAGCTGCGTGTTCTTGTACATAACCAAGCTGTGATGTCACCCAGGACAGTGCCTGCTTCCTTCCTCTGAAACTTCCTCAGCCCATGTCCCGGCTCTGAAAACAGAATCAATTCACTGTGCTCACTGACATGGGAGTGTCCCAATAATACAACCATAAAAATCGATGTTTCCTCACTTAACACATATATTTCTCTAATTAATTCAACGTTTCCGGCTGGTACTGTCATTCCCAGGCAGCTATTTAGTGGAAATGAATGGGTGCTCATTTTATTAAAATCTTACCCTCTGCGTAGAATATCTTATGTAACAGGAGCAGCAAACCAGTTTTGTTCGTGCAAATAAGAAAAAAAAATCATCAGAACGACTCTTGGAACTTGTTCATCTACCCTTCTGCAGTAAACAGTCACTCACTGCTGCCGCTGATGAATGCACAGTGCGTTCCTCCTGCTGAAGAGTTATTCATGCAAACCAAGAAAGACGAGAACATTACATCCGCTCCCTCAGAACTCTTGCTGAGTTCTAAACACCATTTTTTAGCTTCATGAATGCTGCATATTTCCCGTGTGGATTTTTCAGGAATTCTAAAGGAAAGCTGTGGATGCCATGATTTAAACTCTTCACTTACATATTTCTTCTGATTTATTTCCAGAGAGCACATAATAAATAGTCCAACATTAGGAAGCAACGTAAGTTTAGCTTTTAATGATGATAAGAAGGACACATATCTTCAGAGTTTAGTCTCAGGTTTAACAAAGAAAGGTCCTTGTCTGTCTGTCCACACTACATTCAAAGCCCCCCATCATTCTGTTTAGATTAACGAAGGCTTGTAAAACTCAGGAATGTTTTTATATATTTCATGATAGCAAGATTATTACAGCTGCTGCAGTACATCGACAGGAAGCTGCCAGAAGTTCAAGCCAGATTGAGAAGAGGGTGTGGAATGAGGTATATCATTGCTGATGTCAGATAGATCTTGGCTGAAGGCCGAGAATACCAGAAAGATGTTTGCCTGTGTTTTACTGGCTGTGCAAAAGCATTCAACTGTGTGGATCATAACAAATTAGGGACAACACTGCGAAGAATGAGAATTCCAGAACACTTAATTGTGCTCATGCAGAACCTGTACACAGACCAAGAAGCAGCCATTAGAATAGAAGAAGGGGATATTGTGTGGTTTAAAATCAGGAAAAGTGTGCGTCAAGGTTGTGTCCTATCACCATACTTATTCAATCTGTATGCTGAGCAAATAATCAGAGAAGCTGGACTATATGAAGAAGAACAAAGTGTCAGGGTTGGAGGAAGATTTTATTAACAACCTGTGAAATGTAGATGACACAACCTTGCTTGCTGAAAGTGAAGAGGACTTGAAGCACTTTTTGAGGAAGATCAAAGACTACATCTCAACATAAAGAAAATAAAATCCTCACAAATAGGCCAATAAGCAACATCATGATAAACAGAGAAAATACTGAAGTTGTCAAGGATTTCACTTTACTTGGATCCACAATCAACGTCCATGGAAGCAGCAGTCAAGAAATCAAACGACATACTGCATTGGGCAAATCTGCTGTGAAAGACCTCTAAAGTGTTCAAAAGCAAAGAAGTCACTTTCAGGATTAAGGTGCACCTGACCCAAGCCATGGTATTTTCAATCGCCTCATACGCATGTGAAAGCTGGACAATGAATAAGGAAGACCGAAGAATAATTGGTGCCTTTGAATTATGGTGTTGGTGAAGAATATTGAATACACCATGGACTGCCAGAAGAACGAACAAACCTGTCTTGAAAGTACAGCCAGAGTCCTCCTTGGAAGCAAGAATGGCAAGACTCTGTCTCATGTACTTTGGACATGTTTTCAGGAGGGATCAGTTCTTGGAGAGGGACATCATGCTTGATAAGGTACAGGGTCAGCGAAAAAGAGGAAGACCCTCAACAAGATGGACTGACACAGTGGCTGCAACAATGGGCTCAAACACAGCAACAGTTGTGAGGATGCTTCAGGACTGGGCAGTGTTTTGTTCTGTTGTACATAGGGTTGTCAGAACCAACTGGATACCACCTAACAACAACAGTAAGATATAAGTCCAGGAACTATGACTCCAGGGTTTTCAAGTTCTGATTTTGGGGAAGTTACTGGTTACTACGTGTTATGGATTGAATTGTGTCCCCCTCCCAAAATACATGCTGAAACCCTAACCCTTGTACCTGTAAATATGACCCTGTCTCTTATACGGGTCTTCTTTTGTTATGTTAATGAGGCCATATCAGTGTAGGGTAGATTCTAAACCTTATCACTTCCGAGTTATAAAAAGATCACAATAGACACAGAGACACACACAGTGGGGAGACAGACGCCATGTAAGGATCATCTACAAGTCAAGGAACCAAGGGGTGACCAGAGCTACATACAAGGAAGGAATCGACAAGGCTGAGACCCTGACTTTGACTTTTACCCTCCAGAACTATGAGAAAATAAATTTCTGCTCTTTAAAGCTATCTACTTGTGCTATTTGTTTTACAGTCGCACTAGGTAACTAAGACACTATGGGTCAAATCCCACAGTGAAAAGGCCAAGACCAGAAACCTGGGCTCTGTCCCTGCTCTGTCATTCACCAGATGTGAAACCTTGGGCAAGATACTCCCACAGCCCTCTGACCTGTACAGCCCTTCACTGAATCAGCGTCTATGTCCTAGGCTACGTCCTGAGAATTGCAGGGACATGTGACTTCGTGCCTACCCTTGAGGCCCTCCAAGCTGAGCAGAGGAAATGGGCCGTGGAAATGGCAAATTACAATACCCCAGGGGCAAGTACCATAAAAAAATTAAATAAAGAATTGCTGAAGCTCAGATGAGGGGAAGCTAACACTTTCTGGGATGTCAGTGCTGATTTCACACATAAGAAAGCATCTCAGTTGGTCTTGAAGAGGGCGGGGGTATTTTCTAGATAAAAGAGAGAAAAGAATTTTCCAGAGGGTATTGTAAAAGTTCTGGAATGGTTAATAATTAACTGCACCTGAAATGGAATTAAGGGAATGTGCCAATCACTGTTTGCTGTCAGATTCATTCCCTATTTTTCCTCTGCCCTGGTCTATATCATGAGGTAGGGGTAGAGTTGGCCCCTGCAAACCATTTCCCAGGCTACCTTGTTCCCTGACTTTTGACTAAGCTCATCCAGTGAGAGGGACTGGCAGGAAACTGAAAGTGGGAAGAAGGGAGAAGCCAGGGTATTTCTCCCTCAGCCTTGCTGTTAGGCAGCATCTCTCAGCAGACTGAGTTTTCTCCATGGCTCTAACAACCACCAGATGGCCCCTCTCTCTGGGGTTTAGTTCCTACGAGGCAGTCTCAGCATAGCCCCAGGCTCCTAGGCTCTGGAAACACCATTTCCTCTGTCCCTTCAGCTCCAGAGGCGGTGGGTAGCTCCCCGCTGTGGTTTATCTCAGATTGCCTCAGTTCAAGAGGCTGTTTGGCTTCCAAACTTTTCCATCACCTGTGTAACCAATTCTTGTGCAACTAACTTCTTTCTGTCAGAAACATCTAGAAAAGTCTCTGTGAGATGTAAGTAAGTGTGGCGAGAGAGGGGGAGGAGCACATTGTGAAGAGCCATATATGTATGCCGTGGTCAGGGATTTCAAGTTTCACCTGTGGTTTTCAAAAACTTATGATTTTTATCTTTTTAAAGGTGACAAACATGGAGGGCAGGCCCAAGGATGGAGCTCAGGCAACAGGCCACGACAACAGGGCAAACCAGGATGACGGCAGCATAGTCTAAGGCAAAGAGAAGCCATGCTATTCTGAGATAAAATGCATGGATTTACAAATGGGTAAGATGGAAGGGCGGAGGGAAAAGAGAGTTAAGGATGGTTCCTAGTTCCAGTTTGGCAGACTGGGCAGATGATGGCACCAACAAGAGAGAATGAAGGAGAAAGCAGAGGATGTGGGTGGGCAGAGATGCTGAGTGCAACACATATCAAGTATGGGATACCTGAAATAGCTTAGGGAGATGGGTGGGGGTGAGACAAGCTAATGTCTAATATCTCTTCCAGTCTAAAATTATGAGCCCAATGAATGACCACGTTTTCCTCCTAACATTGTGGTGTCAACAATTGTTTTAAAACTTCCGAAGGCATTCACATTTTTTTCAGTTTACAGTGTTTCAGTAACGGGATTTGATGTTATAGGTTTAGTTCTGTGCCAGGAAAATAAGGTCTTGGAAGTTAAGACATCCCAGAGAGCACATGGAAAAACTTGAAACTAGGACTAAAGTCTGCTGCCTACTCACCCTGGAGTACAGCCCTTGTGTCACATCCTGTGGAGGATTTAATAGGTGCTGCTTTCCCTTGAGTATCTCTCCTTCAGCCTTGCGTGACCCCTCATGCTTTACTAGGCCTGCGATTCCCACTATTAATGATTGGATTAGACATTAATTAGACACTGGGAGGAGTATGAGGACTGAAGGAGGGGCCTCCAGCCCTTTCCCAAGGCTCCTTTGTAAGGGGGTGGGGGAGGTTGAGAGCTGAAGAGTCAAAAGAGATTACTTTCTGTGGGAGGTGAAACATCCAAGGACCAGGAGATAAGGTGGGGGCACAAAGACTGCCCAGGTGTCCAGGATGGTCCCTGAGCCACAAACAACTGAGGTATACCACCACACTGGCCACTGAAAGCCATCCGGCCATGAGATGGGCTGCTGGGAGGAAGACTGCCCTTTTCGCAGCTCTGCTCAGGCCTCTGGGTGTGTAGGGAGCCAACTCTCTAACATCCACATTCAGCAGTGTGGGGAGGGTACAAATATGTTATTCCGCAAACTCACCCAAGACCCAATAAAGGGAGGTGAGACTATGGTTAGAGATAAGGAAACCATAAATGTCAAATCCTCAGGATGCAGCGACCCAAGGAGACTCTAGAATCTGTGCCCTCAGCGGCATTATTCTAAAGAGAGCAGCCCTGGCTAGGATTGCGAGAGGCGTACTTGCTAGATGGACAGGTAATTCCCACTCAGGGTCGCATCTAGCCCTGGAATTCTGTGATTCTGTTCTTCCAGGAAGAGGAACAATTGCTACTAAGAAAAAATTTTGAAAAACTAAGAAGAAAAAGAAAAATCCAGCAGGATCTAGACACTTTGTCTATTATTATGTCATCCCCATGGCACACAGAAGAACTGAATGAGCTCAAACTCATTTCCAAAGTCTGTCTGTAAGCACTCAGAGAAATCTTCCCTCTGAGACTGAATAAAAAAACCCTCAAGACAACTTCCAGGCCTCTGCTCCAACCCTTTAACCTTCTCTTCTTCTCTACTCTTGGGCAGATTATTTCCATAGTTTAAGGGGAAAAAAAAAAATCTGTGTGACCTCTGGGAGAAGCTGGCCCTGGTGGCACAGTGGTTAAGAGCTCAGCTGCTAACCAAAAGGTTGGTTTTTGAATCCACCAGCTGCTCCTTGCAAACCCTATGGGGCAGTTCTACTCTGTCCTACAGGGTCGCTATGAGTCAGATCGACTTGACGGCAACAGGTTCAGTTTGGGTTTTAATCATGCAGGGTAGACAAAGAGGAAGGGCCCTGGAGAAACGCAGAAGTAATGATTCTGTTTTCCATCAGGCCTAATATGGTGGGGAGATACCGGGGGCCCCACCACACCAGACAATACGTGACAACAGTCCACCAACCCCCCATCCTGGCGATGGGGTGACTGGTGTTGGTGCATCAGAGGCAGAGAGAGGGTGTGTTTTTCTTTTCTTTTCCTTATACTTTCACAGAAAAGGGTTTTCCTGGAAACAGGATGAAAAGTGGTGTACGCATGATTTTAATTCCTTTAAAGAGAAGTGTGATTTCTCACCAAGTGGTCAGGAAATCTCTTGTTCCTCATTTTCCTGGCAGTGTAGCAAGGCACTGCTGGGGCAGAAAACCCATTAAAACCAAACCCACTGCCATTGACTCAATTCCAACTCATAGCAACCC